GTGAAGAGATATAGTATTAATCATATAAGAATATAAGATGTTTAACAAAATGCGTGATATCTTAACAAAATTACCTTTTTATAAAAAGGTAAAAAAAGACGCCAAGTGTGCATGTACCTTCCATAAAAAACTGTACTTTACATAAACTAAAAAAAAATCGTTACATAAATAATATAATTTAAGTGGTAATATTGTTAATTTTTTATTATAAATTACCCCTCAGTAGTACGTATGCATGTATTAAAAAAAAATCAAATCAAATCTTTAAATTACGCCAATTGCAAAAAGAATATATAATTTCTTGCAACACATAACATATACTATTGTATTTTGTAAATTGCGAAAAGAACATATATTTTACTGCAACATATAACGAGACAAAATGATACGTACCTTTATCTTTCTATTCAAGAATCTTTTATATTTGCAATGGAATACAATATTTAATTTCAAAAAATTAAAGACGAAGCATCACAAAATGATAAAATTTTATTAAAATAAAATTTTTTATGTAAAAGAAACTTGGCACGCTGCTAGATCTCAAAATATAATAAGATGATCAAATAATATCGAATAAAAAAAATAATGAAGAGATTTAAGAAAGAAAATGAGGTGAACAATATACAATGTGTGTGTATGTGTGCGTGCGGGCGCGCGCGCGCGTGTGTGTGTGTGTGTGCGCGCGTGTGCGCGTGCGTGTGTGTGTGTGTGAAATACTTAAAAATACTAAATATGAAAAGTAATGAAGAGATTTAAGAAAGAGAATTAATGATATACAGCGTGTTCATATGTGCGACCAGATTTAATATAGAATAAGTATTTATATGGTGTGAATTATATATTGTAAAAGCGTGTAAGACTAGAACAATGATTTCAGATTTGTAAGACATGCGGTTTAAGTTAAATTTAAAAGTAAATTTAAAATTAATTATAATCTTAATTGTAATTGTGATTGTAATTTTATGTTTGATTGTTAATTAATGTTAATTAAACAGTAAACATTGTTTATTTCTTTTATGTAACATTTACTTATTATATTTTGAGGTCTAGCAGCGCGCCAAATTTTTTTACATAAAAAATTTTATTTTAATAAAATTTTATCATTTTGTGATGCTTTGTCTTTAATTTTTTTAAATTAAATGTTGTATTCCATTGCAAATATAAGACCCTTGAATAGAAAGATAAAGGTACGTATCATTTTGTCTCGTTAATTAAATGTTATATATTGCAATAAAATATGTTCTTTTCGCAATTTACAAAATACAATAGTATATGTTATATGTTGCAAGAAATTATATATTCTTTTTGCAATTGGCGTAATTTGAAAATTGTAAAATTTCATTTTTTTTTTAATACATGCATACGTACTACTGAAGGGTAATTTATAATAAAAAATTAACAATATTACCACTTGAATTATATTATTTATGTAACAGTTTTTTTTTTTTAGTTTATGTAAAGTACAGTTTTTTATGGACGGTACATGCACACTTGGCGCCTTTTTTTACCTTTTTATAAAAAGGTAATTAAAAGATACGGAAAAATGATGTAACAAAAGTTGCTCAGTTACTAGAACGAAAGAAAGTGGTGACTTCAGTTGGCTTAGAGAATATATCCTTAAAATCAGGTTAAGAGTACTAATATTTTTTAAACGGAAACCTCCATTTTTTATTTCATGTTCATATAGCTGACGTCAAGATCTTTTCAAAACACTGTAATAAAATATTTTTTTGGTGAATACTTTACAAGTTATGTGATTTGAAAGTTAACAGATCAGGCTGAAACCGTTCCGTTTAACCACGTTAATATTGATCACCCGCCAAGCAATTGTTATAAATAGTGTCATTTTAAATGGAAATCCCTATTTTTTACTCCAGAAATGAAAAGAGTAGAAAACTCTACGTTCAGATAGACTATCATGGAGTCAAATTTAGCCCAGGAATCATTACAAGATCAACTTAATTTTTTAAATGAAAACTTTAAATTCTGAAATAAAAAGAGCAAATACATACAGTACTACTTTTAGCGCTACTCAGGAACAATGGCGTAATAATTTCTGTTCCCTTTAGGGTGCTTGATTAGCATGAATCCCCTCGCCTCTCACGATTTGAGGTGCTCGATAACTTGTAAAATATTCAATGAAAAAATATTTTATTATAGTGTTTTGAAAAGGACTTAACATCAGCTATAATATGAACATGAAATAAAAAATTGGGGTCCATTTTAAAAATTGTACATAATTTTCACCTGACTTTAAGGATATCTCCTCTAAGTCAACCAAAGCCACCATTTTCTTTCTCCCTAATAATTGAGCAATTTTCTTTAAAACATTTTTCCGTATCTTTCATATTTTTCGAGATATTTCAGTGTATAATTTATAATGACTCGCTCTGTATATACATACAGAGTGCCCCATTTTAAATGATCCAGCCCAATATCTCTAAAACTAAATTCAGTAGACAAAAATGTTTCAGACAAAAGTTGTTTGACTCGAAGGGAGACATAAGATGGTGCCATTGATTTGACCTTGGATAGTCCTCTAAAGATCACGTGAAGGTCGCCTTCAATTTTTTAAATGGAACCCCCTATTTCTCATTACATATTCTTATAGTTTGTCCCGAGAGCTCTCTTTCCAAAACACTATAATAAAATAATTTTTCATGAAGTACTTTTCAAGTTATAAGGCTTGAAAGCTACAGTACCGCCGGCATTAACATCACACAAGGTGTCCAACCGACAGCTAAAGCCTCTTGAATGTCATTCAGGATCATGTCCTGGATAACATTTGTTACGATCAAGGTCACTGTAGATTGTTTCTCTTATTTTCATTTTTACATAAAAATGAATTTTCAGTGCAAACAACTTTTGTCTGAAACATTTTTGTCTACTGAGTTTAGTTTTCGAGATATTGAGCTGGATCATTTAAAATGGGACACTGTATATACGGGTGTTTCAGACCACCTGTACAACCCTTTTATCTTCACGGGATAAGGTCCAATCGTAAAAATGTTCTGACAAAAGTTGTAGCATTAAAAAGATCTATTTACTATTCTTATCAGTTTGATAAGAACCTTAGGTGGCATCGCCGAGATCAGATCAAGGTCGCATCAATTTTTTTTAAATGGAATGTGCCCAACTTTTTATTCCAATATCTAATAGCCGATATCGAGAGTTCTTTTCGAAACACTATAATAAAATTATTTTTCATTAAATACTTTTTGAGACTGAACATTTTTACGATTGGACCTTATCCTGCGAAGATAAAAGATTTGTTCGGATGCGATGGTCGGAAACATCTGGTATGTATGTGTGTGTGTGTGCGCGCGCGCGCGGGTGTGTGCGCGCGCGCGGGTGTGTGCGCGCGCGCGGGTGTGTGCGCGTGCGCGGGTGTGTGCGGGTGCGCGTGTGTGTATACATATATAGGGTGTCCCATAATTCATTCGACAACACTTGTGGGTAAATAGAGCGACTAAACTGAGTCGAAAAGTCCTCTACTATTTTGCAATTTTCGCAATAGTTAACAAGATATTTTTTACTAAAAATCGCTGAATATTGGTTTTCAATCATTTTTTAATCAAATACTATCAACTTTACAGAAAAACAGCAAGAGACAAAAATTGTTTATTTTCTTCTCGTAAAGTTCTGAGAATTTTTTT